TCCCTCCCTCCCTCTCTCCCCCCCCCCACATCTCTCTCTCTCTCTCTCTCTCTCTCGCTGTGGGGTCAGCGGGAAGTCGTGTGAAAAGAGGCTTTTAGTTTATTTTAAAAAGGGGGTCGAAATTTTTTTTTAAACTCCCAGATTCCATCCAGTAATTGAATCTGGCATTTGGTCCGAGTTCTGTTGGTTTTGTTCTTAAAGCAGGTTTTAAGTGCCATTGTGCTGTGCTTCTTTTTTTTTTTCAATGTCTCTGATGTCTGATGTCTGATGTCTTCGTGTGTATTTTAAATATGGCTATGCGGGCGATTTAAGGGCGCTTTGGATATATGTTACCTCTATATTTCCATCTGATGTTCCTGTTTGTCTGCCTGTCTTGCTCTTTTCCAGCACTAAACGACTTTTATTGTGTCGATACGTTCCTCTTTACTCATACCCTCTGTCAGAAGGTCTCATTGGCCATAACAAAAGCCACAAATCATCTTAATGGTCGTCATCAGACATTGACAGACGAACTATTATTGTTGTTTTTATTATATAACTGTTATATTTATTCTTATTATTATTTGTAGTAGTATTAGTTTTAGTTTTTGTTATTTCTTCTACTCGAACTATTATGTGGCCAGAATTGTCCTGGGGGCTCTCGTGGCCCTCTCATTCAAAAGTCCTGGTTTCGAATCGGAGTAGCGACCGAAATAAATTCTTCTCTGAAATTGTCTGCTTTCACCTCCTTTCCTGCTCTCTAGCAATGTTCTGTCGTCTGCTTTTGTCTCCTCTTTCTCCCCTCACCCCCTTTGCCCCTTCCTCTGGACTCTTTCTGCAGCCTTTCTACTTCTACTCCTTGGCACCTTCTTACTGCTGTCTTTCAGCCACACCCTTGATCTTCCTGTAGGAAAGGTGTACACCTAGTCTTCTCGGGCAAGGGCGAAAAGTCTCGGAGGGCCCAAGCAAGTTGCGGATGTTGAAGATCCCTTGGTGGTCTAAAATCGATGAGAGTAGGCTTCGGCCGCCACCCGGGCAAAATAAAAAAATTGCTCACAATTGAAAAAGTTAAATGTGCCCCGCGCGTTCCAAATTATGACCTTATGCAGTTGCAAGCGCCGTAAAACACTGACCGGTACCAAAAAAACCCAAAGAAAAATGTTTTAAAGAATATTTGTCCTGACTGGTCATGAGGACCTTTTTAACACTCGTTGTGACTATCTTCTTGCCCGCCTGCTCCTTTGTTTTAAACTTCTGGATATTATTGTGTTGCAAGTGCCGTAAAACGCTTACTAAAACAAAACTTCTTTAAAAAGACTCTAATCCTTCCTAGATTTCTGTTTTAATTCAGCAGTATTTTCACACAGGTTGACTTGAATCTACTATCTTTTATGTTTTTAAACCATGTCTCTGTGTACCTTACTCGCATGTTGGTGGATGGGGTCACTTATATCTGAAGGTTTTACTTTTTAACAACAAGTATGTCGTTTCTACGCATTTATTGCCTTTTTCAGATTTAGACTGTTCATTCGTATGTCTTTTTTTCTATCCCTAATAAGATTTACCAACCATTATGACACAACTGATTTCTGGTGTTTAGAAGGCGCCATTGATATGTTTGAATCTTTTCTATTCCTCCACTGTATTAGTTTCACTTAGCCCATCTCATACAATCTGTGTGGGGTTTTTTTGTTTGTTTGTTTGGTAATCAAATTTGAAGACTGAAAACTTGAGTCAATAGGACTGTTTTGAAACCTTGTCAGTATGGTACTTTTTCAACTTAAGACTGTTGATGCGTACTTCTTTTATCAAAAAGCATGTTGATATGTCACTTCTCAAATGAAAATCATATTGATATGCTTTTGTTTAACTCATTGTTTGGATATGCTGCTTTTCAAGTCTTGACTGTGCGAATGGTTGGAGGGTGCCAATAGTTGGTCCTACTTCTTTACCGTCTCTGAAGATTTCTGTCTATCTTGCTTTTCACTAAACTGCCGTCGTTGTGTCCATGTGTTTTCTGTACTCAAACTCAAGACGGTGTCACTGCCACTTGTTTCACCTCTATATGGTCGCTTTTAAGGACAAGCGGGCTAACCCAGATTTCGGGGTTTTCAGACATCTTGACCTACACCAAGAGTGGGCAGTGCCCTACCTATGGGAAAAGTTTGGTTTCGTTGGTGTGTTTATTGGTTTGGTTATAGAGAAAACTCTCCTTGTCTTTTAAAGAAACTAAATAAGGGGCAAAAACTTTACCTTTGATTTTCTCAAAATTGCATTTTTCGGGATAAAAGCGACCATATGTGCCTGGACTGGCCCTGATAAGCAGAGTCGAAGCAGCCTGCCTTGTCCTCGTAAATGTTCTAAATTGTGTCTATGGGGATGGAAAACTAAAGCATCAATGTGGGTAGTTGGCTGGTGCTCTGATGGGGTTTGCTTCTTGTTTCTTATTAAACATCTGTCATCCTTATCTCTCGTCGTACTTTTTTAAATATTATATGTTAGTCTCTTATAACATCTCTAATCTTTGGCACTTACTTGACAATTGTGTTGCAAGTGCTCTAAAACTTTCACTGAAACAAAAACATCAGGCACAACAATTTTTCAAAATTTTAAACCTGTGTGTGTCTGCTTCTTACTCTCCCAGAGCTATGACTGGGAGGTATTGAAGTACATGTCGAACATGCGCATGACTTAATTTGTGTTACACATGCAGTTATACTCTCACTAAAACAAAGCATCTACAATGACAATTTTAAAATATTTTTTGCCCCTTGTGGGTGGTTGGCGGGTGCTCTGGTGTGGTTTGCTTCTTCTTTCCTATCAAACATCTGTCGTCCTTATCTCCCCTCCTTCTGTTTTGTGTTTGTTACTCTCTTGTAACACCTCTAATCTTCGGCACTTATATGACCTAATTGTGTTGCAAGTTCCGTAAAACACTTACTAAAACTAAAACTTGCCCATTTGTGTCCGTTTCTTTCTCTCCCAAAGCTACGAGTGGGCTCCAGAAGCCGTAAAGTACATGTCGAGCTTGCGCATGACTTAATTGTGTTGCGAGCACCATAAAACTCTCTTTTTTTTTAACATCTATATTAACGATTTTTCCATATTTTCACCCAAATGTGTGTCTGCTTCTTTCTCTCCCAGAGCTACGAGTGGGCGCTGGAGGCCATGAAGTACGTGTCGAGCATGCGCATGGAGCACAGCGCCACGGCCGAGGGCCTGGACAAGCTGCTGCGGAGCCTGAACGTGTATCTGGCCGAGCACCCGCCCGTGTCCGAGGAGAACTTTGCCGCCATGCTGGACGCTGCTCAGAGGCTTCACAACGAGAAACTGTTGGAGCAGTGCCGGGTGGCCAAAGCCAGGTGTCAGGTGAGTGGGGTTCATGTCATTGTTGCTGTTACTGGGGGTGGTTATGCTGATGTTTTTGTTTTTCAGTGTGGTGATGATGTTTTTGATTTTGATTCTGTTGCTATTGAAGCTATGCCAGGTGGGGAAGCTCAGAGTGGGAGGGAGGGGTGGGGGAGAGGCAATGTTGAAACAGTGGATGGTGTTATTGGTATAATGGTGATGGTGTTATTCATGTTGATGTTGTCATTGCTGTTAGGGATTTTTTTTTTTTAGTTTGACCTCCAACTTGCAATGACTTATCGACTTTGTGTCTAGAATTCAAGGCATTCAAATTTCACCTTCTGACTCTTTTGTAGTCTCTTGATTGACTCTTTTGTAGTCTCTTGATTCACCCCAATCTCTATACAGTTCGAAATGTTAGTTTTTGTACAATTAAATTGTCAGTGTTCTGTTCTCTTGTTATCTTTCTGTGGATGATTTGGGGCACCTCAGGGAGGTCTTACTTCTTTTGGTTCCTACGGTTGTTCATGTCTGTCTTGTCTGTTTTTCTGTCTTTCTGTCTTTCTGTCTTTGCCCCTGTACGAAGTGTCTGTTATTGTTTATGGGTCCTTCTCTTTACCTAACCTTAACTGTCTACCTGCTTCAGGTGGTTGTCAGGTGTTTGGGTGTGGTTTGCTCCTTCTTTTCTACAGAACGTCCATCATCCTGATTTCTCCTTCTTTTTGTGTTTATTACTCTCTGTAACACTTTGAATCTTCAGTACTTATATGACCTAATTGTGTTGCAAGTGCCATAAAATTGTTATTATATGCAAAAATTGACCAGTGGGTGATTGGCATATTCTCTGGTGTGGTTTGCTCCTTCTTTTCTATTAAACATCTATCGTCCTTTTCTCTTCTCCTATTTTGTGTTTGTTACTCCCTTGTAGTTCCTCGGGCAGCCCAATACCTCTAATCTTCGGCACTTATTTGACTTAATTGTGTTGTTAGGGCTGTAAAACTTACTAAAAACTAAAACTGACCACCCCCTCCACTGTCCATGCGGGAAACACACCTCCTCTGGTTTTTTTACTCTCTTGATCTTTTGCCATACCTTTAATCTTAGCCTCTTCTATGACCTCATTGTGTTGCAAGTGCCATAAAACTTCTAATAAAAACTAAAACTGACCACTCCCTCCTCTGTCCATGCAGGAGACCCATCAGCTCTTACAGCTGCGACAGACAACTCTCCGCCGTGCCCGGAACCAGATGGAGGTGGAGCAGGCTCTCAAAGAGGGCGACTCTGAGGCCAGCAGCAGATGCAGCACTCACTCCACCCCCGCTGCCCCCTCCTCCCCGTCAGTGTTCGACGTCCACGAGATGGCCAAGCCCATCGCCCACATCTCCGAGGACATCCACAGCGACTACCGCGACATGGTACACAGCAGCTCCTCATCCTCCTCCCCCCACCACCGCCTAGAGCAGTCCTCCTCTGTGTTCACCACCCCGCCGTCGTTCTCGTTTGAGCGGACGCCCATGGACTCGGTTTCCTCCTCTTCTTCATCATCAATGTCATCTTCAGCGCTACGCGGGGGTGGCGATGGAGAGGATGGGGAAGGACGTTCCTTCTGGGAGCCGAAAGACTCTAGCACTCCGACTGGAGGCTTTACGAACATGCAGCAAGGCGGAGGTGATGGTGAAAGTGTTGGTGGTAGTGAAGCAGGTAGTGACAGTTCTTCAACGAAGCCTTGTCCACGTGCAGGTAAGCAGTACGGGTTCAGATCTGAGGAGAGTCATCCTAGTCACAACAGCTCGTCATCTGGTAGAGTGTGCGGAGAGGGCGCATCTGACAGCTCTGGCGCGTCCACTCCGGAATTTCGTTCCCCAATGGTGCCTGTGAGTCCGCAGCACCGCCACAATGTGAGGGCGGTAAGAGACAGGATGGCTGTACAACAGCCGCTACATTCCTCAGGTGGACCTCAGATGTCATCATCATTGTCACCCTCCCACATCCTGCCTCCATCACCGATGACAATGCCGCCGCCTCTCTCCCCAGCCTCTTCGTCTTCCTCATCTTCAGCATCTTCCTCCACCACCGTGCCCCACTATGCCCCCCTCACCGACACACCCCCATCCTCTTCACCCCGACCAAGACTATACGAACCCTCCCCATCCTCCTCGCCTATCTCTCGCCTCTACAACAGCTCGCCAACACGATCGTCGGCCACTTCCGTTGCTCGTGGATCTGCTGCTGGCAAGCTTGCCTTAGGCCGTACCATCTCCCAGCCCCCAAATGTCTCACCTTCTCACCAGGGTGTCACAAGCCCAAGACCCCTCCACAGCCTGCCTTCTGGCCTACCACCTGCATCTTCACGACCACTCAAGAAAATCCTGAAGCGTGCAAGCACTGCACCCATTCCTATGCTGGGTTCGCCTATCTTGGAAGAGGATCCCCAGCAGTTAATGACCGCCAGTTTTGGCAGCCCAGGAGGGGGGCGGGAGGGGGAGGACAACGAGGGCGGACGACAGGAGAGAAGCGCCAAGTCCCTCAGTATGATCACTGGCAGCTCAGAGTCTCTGCCCAGGTATGTCACTTACCTATACTCTTTCTGCCACCCATTGAACAAAAGTACACTCTTTCGTGGTGACAGAATCATATGTATACACAAATATCCTCATATGCGAGGATAATCACACACTCATGCATATTCACATGTACACTCACACATGTGCATATGCATTCTTTCATACACACACACACACACACACACACACACACACACACACACACACACACACACGCACACACACACACACATACATCCACACATTAATAGTCAGAGTGGGAGAAAAAGAGAGGGAGAGAGAGAAAAAAAGAGGTAAAACTAGTGCACTCGCTCCAAAAATGTATGACAGAGGTTTATTCATTTTCATATAAAATCTAACTATGTTGCAGCATGGCTGAAGAGGATGAGTCTCAGCTGGATGCCAGCCCATCCCACGAGGGTCAGGAAGGGGACAGAGCCTCCACGGGAAACATCCGGGACTGGACACCCATACCGGTCAACACACACCTCCACCGGTCAGCTCAGAGTACACCCACGGGGCCCATGGCAGACCTGAGGCTGTCAGAAGCTGAGATGAAGAGCAGAAGGTCAGTTTTTGTACAATTTATAATTAGTTTTGTAGTTTAGTACCAATAGTTATTTTTTAAATTATGTTTTGTGCAGATGATTTTTGGGGTTATGTTTAAAGGATTTTTTTTTCATTTGGTTCTGTTTACCTGTAATATTTGCATCTGTAATGTAATGGTTGGGCCCTTGGCTGCTTCCCATCTGGGGAAGTTACTTATCAAGTTTCTCTGTCTTCTGGGATTTCTTTCCCATTGTTCCCAGTTTAGCTTTGACAGGCAGGGTGCAAGAACACTTTAAAGTGTAGGATAAAACCTCTTATTTCTTTTCTTCCTCTAAAACCAACACACAAAAGTTTAGACACGTTTTCTTTCTTGTGCTAAAAAAATCCTATACAGAAATTTTCATTACAATTTACGCACAAAAGTACAGAATAAACCTTTTTTTTCTCTCACAAAATTATAGAATAAACAATTTGATCCTTTTGCTTTGCAAGTAGTTAGAGGGCATCACTGGTAGGCCCTACTTCTTTTCTTTTTCCCCCATCTGTCTATCCATCTTGTTTGTCGCTCTGTGCACTAAATGACGGTTATTGAATCTATTGAATCAGTGGGCATCTTTTTACAACGGAACACTAGTATTTTTGTACAAAAGAAAAGTATATAAATGTTTTTCCCTTTTCCTCCCCAAAAACTCACATCAGGACGGTCTCGCTGATCATGTCTGAGATGATACAGACGGAGCGAGACTACGTGCGCGCCTTACAGTTCATCACAGACCACTACGTGCCAGAGCTGCAGCGCGAGGACGTCCCACAGATGCTGCGGGGCAAGAGGACAGTCATCTTCGGCAACTTGGAGAAGATCCAGCAGTTCCACGGCCAGTACTTCCTGCGTCACTTGGAGGCCTGTCAGAACCAGCCCTTCCTAGTGGGACAGTATTTCCTGCAGCATGTGAGTCCCACCAGGAGAATTTCGTTTGTTGTGACTGTGCTTAAGTCGAGGGTTATATAGTGACCGTATAACTCCTCCTCTGCTTCCTCCATCTCCTCCTCCATCTCCATCTCCCCCTTATCCTCCTCCATCTCCTCATTCACCTCGTCCATCTCCTCATTCTTTTTGGCCTCCTCATGGGCAGTATTGCATACAAATGTAAGTGGGTTGTTTGCAGGTTCTCTTGTGTGGTTTGCTCCTTCTTTCCTATCAAACATCTATCCTCCTTATCTCCCCTCCTTCTTTTCTGTGTTTGCTACTCTCTTGTAACACTTCTAATCTTCGGCACTTATATGACCTTATTGTGTTACAAGTGCCGTAACACTCTTACTAAAATTATTTTTTTTAATACAGACGTAATTCATTTTTGGCGGCCTTTGAGATACGTCTCTATGCAATTCTGCCTGCATCCTCTTCCTACTGCTGTAATATTTTTTCTATGACCATTGTTGTATCAATATGCTTCTTTTTAGTCAAACTCTCTTCTTCCTCCCCCTCCTCCTCCTCTTCCTCCATCACCACTTTAGTTACTTAAGTTGTAAGTTGCATTTCTATGATAGGATTTGACAGAAAGGGAGAGAGAGAGAGAGAAAGAAAAGAAAAAGATATATTTATTACTGACACTGCTACAATTCTTTCATACTGTAAAATGTTCATTTTTCATAGAAATATGCGAGTTGTATATCTCCCTAACCCTGTGTTCTCTTGCTTGCCTGTTCCAGGAGACTATGTTCTACCTGTATGCCTTGTACAACAAGAACAAACCCAAGTCTGATACTCTGATGATGGAGTTTGGAAAAGATTTCTTCAGAGTAAGACCCGTTTAGAAAAACTAATTTATTTTTACAAACCGTTAAGCGTCTTTGTCTCTGCCTGATAAACTAATGCTGTAAGATCTGATCTTGCTGCAGTGGGTCTTTACTTCCTCTTTTCTTCCCCTCTGTTGTTTCTGTTTATTTATTACTCTTTTTTTCCTTGCACTAAGTAACTGCTAATGTTTTGACATGCTTTTCTTTTCTCAAACAGACAAGCCTTAATCATGTTAAGTTTGATAAAGGAAAGCTCTGAACCCTGAGTTGACCTGATTTGCAGCTTTCTTCCCCCCTCCCTCCCCCCACCCAAGATGTTATTTTAATTTAATTTTTTTTCCTAACATGGGTAATCTTTTAGACTGCTTATCAGATCAGTGATCTAAGTCCTTTCTGCCTTTCTCTCTTGACCTGACCTCTATGGTTTTATGGTAAGGCTCTTCATCAAGCAGAAGATGTAAATTCCATTCTGATATGGAAAGTTGTTCTCACTAGTTATCTCTGTCTACTTGCTGGAATGCTGCATCCCTCTCAACCATTTTTGGTTCTGGTTGGCAAGTTAAAAGTAGACTGCTTTCGAAATGATCTGAATATTGTGGATGGGGACATAAATATTTACAAATAAAAATCTTTCTCTGTTTCTGGTATGAAAATTTGTTCATACTAGTTATCTCTGTCTACTTGCTGGATTGCTGTATCCCTCTCAACCGTTGTTGGTTCTGATTGGCAAGATAAAAGTAGACTGATTTTGAAATGATCTGAATAATGTGGACGGGGACATAAATATATTGACAAAAATCTCTTTCTCTGTTTCTCTCACAGGAAAAACAGCTGGAGCTGGGTGACAAAATGGACCTGTCCAGCTATCTCCTGAAGCCTGTGCAGCGTATGGGCAAGTACGCCCTGCTGCTCAAACAGCTGCTGAAGGAGTGCAACGAGACTGAGCCCGAGTACCCTGAGCTGAGGGTGAGTAACTTGTTGTCCTTGTCACCACAAGTGCTGTAATACTCTCAACCCTTTTCGAGCTAAATTGTTTCCATTTATGATTGTACAGACAAGGCAAAATGTTAATTCTAGAGAAATTTAAACAAAGGTATGATATATTTTTCTTTATTAAAAGTCAGAAATTGCTCAAGTTGCAAATATGTCATCAAAAATATCCTCTAAATGCCAGTATTAAAAATGGCAGAGAACCACTTCGGGAGAACACAAGTGAGTACATAATATGTCAACACAGCAGTGAAGAGGTTAAAATTAATAAAATGATGGATTTTTCGTGATATTTGTAATGGGTTTGAGAAGAAAAAAATATTTTTCTTGAAGGAGCCTGGAGTTCAAGGGAGCTGTGGTATGGTCTGCTTCTTCTCTTTTTTTCTTTTCAGTGTTACTAATAGTATAATGTTCTTATTATGCTTGTTCACTCAACGCAGTGGGAGGTTGGAGGGAACACTGGTAGGTCCTTTTTCTCTTCCCTCCCTCCTGATGTTTCTGTTTTTTCTGTCTTACTCTTTCGTGCACTGTCATTGTGTTCATGTACTTCTTTTCACTCAATCAAACAATTGCTGTATTTGGTATGTATGTTGACATGTGTCTGTGATTTTGTAATTACTTTTTCTATTTCTCTGCTTCTCTCCTCCAGGCTGCTGAGGAAATGGTCAAGTTCCAACTTCGTCATGGCAACGACCTTCTGGCAATGGACTCTCTAAGGGATTGTGATGTATGTATCTGAGAAGGATCATCGATAGATATTTACATCTGAGAAGTATCATCATTATGTATTTATATCTGAGATGTATCATCAATAGATATCGACATTTAAGAAGAATAATTATTTATCTGTATCTGAGAAGGATCACCAATAGATATCTACATCTAAGAAGTATCATCATTATGTTTCCATACATGAGAAGTATTATCCATGGATATCTACAGCTGAGAAGTATCATAATTATGTGTCAGTATATGAGAAGTGTCTTCATTATATTTCTGTACGTGAGAGGTATTATCATTTATTTATTCTTTCTCTTATTTGTTCTTTTTTGGGGGGGGGGGGGGGGGGTCCCATTGTCGTTTTATTTTTTAATTCTTTTATTTATTTATGTATTGTTTCATTCATTTGTTCATTTATTATTCTTTCTGTCATTCAGTCATTCATATTCCTTTAAGTGTTTATTTCATTATTCCTGTATTTAATTTCCAGGTGAACCTCCAGGAGCAGGGCCGACTGTTGAGACAGGAGGAGTTCCTCGTGTTCCAGGGTCGCAAAAAGTCCATGAGGCGCATCTTCCTGTTTGAGGACCTTATCCTGTTCAGCAAGACTCGCCGTGGGAGGCAGGGCCAACACGACATTTATGTGTACAAGAACAGTTTTAAGGTGGGTACAATAGAATAGGTTATACCTTTAAATATTTATAGTAAGGCTTCTTGAGTTAACTTTTTGGTTTCCGTCCTTCTTTGGCCTTTGTGATTATTCCACTGAGAAATGAAACAACCCGTCAAAGACGGTTGCAGTACACTTCTGCCGAACAGGCAGACGTGTGCTGCAGCCGGATTTGACACTATACGGGGAAAGGATTCCCGTCCAGGACCAAGCTCGTTTCCTCGGCGTCATTTTCGACAAAAAACTTACATTCATACCACACATCAAAGACCTTCGTGTGAGGTGCCAGAAAGCGTTAAACACTTTGAAAATTCTATCAAATCCGGAGTGGGGCGGGGACTCAAAACACCTTCTCCACTTGTACATCTCCCTTGTCCGGTCCAGGCTTGACTACGGCTGTCAAGTCTACGGATCGGCAAAACCACACGTCTTAAAAATACTAGATCCAATACAAAACCAAGGACTCCGCCTCGCTCTGGGGGCTTTCCACACTTCTCCGGTGGAGAGCCTCCAGGCCGAGGCCAACATACCACCACTCTCACTCAGACGCACACAACTCTCACTACAATACGCAGTTAAACAGAGCTCAACACCGGAAAATCCAGCGCACAACAGCATTTTTCAAACAAATCCAGAAACCAGAAACAGATTCCAAAACAACGAAAAACTCATCAAACCTTTCGGCCTCAGAATCCTTGAGGACCTCAAAAACTTACACTTTTCCAAACAAGACATCCAACAAATTCTTTTCCCCGACCTCCCTCCGTGGCACCTCACCAAGGCAAAAGTAGATTTACAGCTGACCACACACAACAAAGAAAGCACAAACACCAAAACTTTTCAAGCAGAATACAAAAAACTAATAGATAAATACCCCAGTGCGGAGCTCATCTTCACGGATGGCTCCAAAAAAGACAATGAAGTGGGCGCCGCAGCCCTATCTCCCAACAATACACACCAGAGGAGACTCCATCCTGAAGCCTCCATTTTCATTGCGGAGGCCACTGCCATTGACATGGCACTGGACTCTGTAGAAAATTCCCCTAACAAATCTTTCCTTATCCTTTCTGACTCTCTGTCTTGCATCACCTCACTCACAAACTACACACTCCTACACCCAAAAATAGTTAGGCTACAACAGAAAATCCATACACTATCCGAAACAGGAAAAAACATCATGTTCGCATGGATACCCAGCCATGTGGGCATCCGAGGAAACGAGCAGGTAGACGACCTGGTGAAGAAAGCTTCATCCCTTCTGCTGGGATCAACGACAAACACTCTCCCACAGACTGACTTTAGAAATAAAGTCTAAAAGTACACCTCCAGTCTGTGGGAGAGCCACTGGGAAAACCAGAAAAATAATAAATTATATGAAATTAAACCCAGACTAGAACAGCGAAATCCTTCGGATCTCTCCAGAAGAGACGAAGTCATTTTTACTCGATTGCGCATCGGACACACGGCCCTGACCCACAAATACCTCCTACAGGGAGAGAAGAAGCCGTTCTGTGTCGGATGCGACACAGATTTTACCATTAGACACATTTTAACAGAATGTCTAGACTTTGGAGAGATCCGAAGGAAATATTATAAATGCAAGAAATTGCAGGATATTTTCTCCGTCGTTGTTCCCAGCAGAATTCTAAATTTTATAAAGGCCATTGGCCTTCTGCGTAGCTCTCCTTCACAGTGGAAGTGCCAAAAGTTATATTTCGTGAGGCGCATTTTGTTTTGAGAGTATAGATCTAGAGCTTCTAATTTTTTGCATCTCTCAAGATTTGTTGCCCCATTCCAGTAGAGTGTACATATAGTAGGTCAATGACTTTCAGTTGATGTTAATGCACTGATCATTCCTTTCACTGAAAGGGGGCCCTGCTAGTCTATTTTATACTGGGCCATCCTGCTATGTTCCTCTGATTTTTCCTCTTTGCTTTGCTTATGGACAGCAGTCTAGCAGTGAGCCCCACCATTACATGACAGATTTTGATCAAAATGAACTTAAAATTTGTATTTTCTACCAAATTTTTTCAGACTGCCGACATTGGAATGACAGAGAATTTTGGTGATTCTGGGTATAAGTTTGAGATCTGGTTTCGGCGAAGGACCATTGGAGACAATTACATCTTGCAAGCGCCCAACTCTGAAGTGAAAAAGGCATGGGTGAAGGATATCTCCAGGATATTATGGCGTCAAGCAATCCGCAACAGAGGTCAGTTTCTTGAAGACGCTCAGCCTGGTTTTATACTGACTGTTCAAAGAATAGCAGCTGGGTCCATAAATTCAGAATCATTTCAAGCGCACCATTTCTTTTGAAACATTCTCCATAATGTAATTTTATGTTATGTTGTGTGAATTGGCTTAAAATACTCAAGTTTGAATTATGAAAATCAGCTTCTGGTTTTTCTGACACTGATGTTTACAAGCAGCTGATGAGTACTTGTTGTCTTTTTAATGTGTTACACTGTCTTTTAATAATGGGATTCTTTTCTTAAAGTCTACTCTGTTGGGCCATATTGGCCAGTGTGTATTTTCCTACGTTTTTAAAACTTGTGGTCAGACTAGCAGAATGCAAAGTTTGTGCTTGACACAATTCCTCTTTTAGTATTGAAAATTGTCTTTGGCTTCTTTGGTATTTTGTGAATGCCTGTACTTCTAGGGCTATACATGGATGCTCTAGTGTGAACTGCAATAGGTTGTATGCCTGAGCAACAGTTGTCCTAATTTACTTCCCAGTTAAAAATTTTCGTTTTTATGCTAAATCGTAGTCAATTTCAACTCAATGCCTGTACAGCGCCAGATGGTTGGAGGACATCACTGGTAGGTCTGGCTTCTTTGCGTACACTGTGTTGTTTCTCTCCACCTCTCTTGTCTTTTCCCTGCTCTTAAAAATGATTTTGTCACAAAGTCTCAACAATGTGTATTCAGAAATAAGAGGAGCATTCACACTTCAGTTTTTTCATTATTTCTCTCTCCCACCCTGTGGGTGGTTGAAGGGCACCACTGAGAGGCCCAACGTCTTTTCTTTTCCTCTATTCTTTCTGTCCATCTGCTTTACATTGTCCCTGCACTAAATAACAATTTATCCAATATGGCGTTTATGTGTTTCTCTATATTATACTCGGAACTAAAAAAAGAAATCACTGTCAAATATCACTTGTGGGTGGTTGGTGGGTGCCCTGGTGTGGTTTGCTCCTTCTTTCCTATGAAACATCTATCGTCTTTATCTCCCCTCCTTCTTTTTTGTGTTTGTCACTCTCTTGTAACACCTCTAATCTTCGGCACTTATATGACCTTATTGTGTTGCAAGTGCCATAAAACTCTTCCTAAATCTAAACTAAAATATCACTTGTTGTTCCCTCTCCCTCCCAGAATCTCGTATCAATGAGCTGGCCACCATGGGTATCGGCAACAAGCCCTGTCTGGACATCAAGCCCAGCGAAGACAACATCCAGGACCGCTCTATCAACGTCTCCCTCGGCAACAGGGGAGGTAAGTCTGATCTATGCGGAATGCCAGCAGGAAATAATTTTTGCAGGAGTTAACCTCTATAAGTTGTAAGACTATTCCCTATTTTGTCACAGCAAATCTTGTTTGACATATGTAGACTTTAGTTGTTATGGTTTTTTAGCATAAAATAATGTGTTTCAAGCTACAAGCTTGCATGACACAGCAAAGTGTTCAAGAAAGAATAAAGATTTGATACATGCATACAGTTTGTGAGCATACCGTTGCAGAACAGGCAGGCGGAATATTTATGACAAATGGGAATAACTTATAAAAACAAACACTCAGTATCTGTTAAATAGACGTTCCAACTTCTAAGAGTTAAGAGTCTCACAGTTGTTCAGGATCATTGAAAAAATCTCCTTTTCCTCTTTTCACTTTTGACCCCTAGTGTTTGGTGGGTGCTTTGGTGTGATTTGCTCCTTCTGTCCTGTCAAACATTAATTGTCCTTATTTGTGTTTGTTACTCTCTTGTAACACCTCTAATCTTTCGCGCTCATATGACCTTACTGTGTTGCTAGTGCCGTAAAACTGAATTTACTAAACCTAAAAGCATGGATGGTGGATGTAAATAAAAGACAACTGTCATTAAGTGAGGAGTGCATAGTTTTAGAATACGTCCGTATTATAAAAATTGAAATACAGCGTTTGTCAGCTGGTGTGACCATCATTTTTTTTTGGAGTTTTTTCTTTAAGAGAAAATATACTTTTTTCCTGCTGTATGTCAACAGTTTTGATTATTCTTTAGATTAATTTCAAGGATTGTATTTAAGATTTTGTAATTTTGTCTTTTTATATCCTCCGCAGCTCGCACAAGAAATTCTATAGCAGTGTCATCCTTTGACTATCTTCGTAACGGAAACAAACGACCTCATTCCATCATCTCAGTCAGTTCAACATCATCTTCTGGGTCGAGTCAGTCATCCTTTGGCTTGCTGGGATCTCTAAATCTGGCTTTTGACCCCTTAGACAGCCCTCGGTTGAACCGACGGTCTTTTATTTCAAGTGGTAAGCTACTTTCTTTGTTGTTTTATACTCAACAATTTTTTATCTGGCTTGTGGTTGGAGGGTGTTAGTGGTAGGTCTTACTACCTTTCCTCTCCATCTGTAGTTTTAGTCAGTCTTGTCTTCTTTTTTCATGTGCTAAATGACTGTTATTGCATCTATGTGTATGTCTTTATTCCAAACAAATATGCAATTCTGTCAAAACTACAAAGTCTGTTTAATAACAACCTTTCTTTTTGTAGACATGATCTTTAAAGAGAGAATCCTTTTTCATATGTTTGTGTGTATTAATGTTTTGGCACAATTTTAAATAAAAAACAAAATTTCTTTAACAAAAGGGGTTTATTAATTTTGTTTTTCTCCTTTCTCCAGAGAGTGGTATAGTGACTGATGGGGACACATCTGTGGGCGACGTGGGCAGCGAGAATCGAGGTCCCAGCCCACGGCGGGCTAGTCAAGGGGCGCCTCCCTCCTCCGCCATGCGCTCCTATTTCGATGTGATGAAGTCACGAGTCCTCAAACAGAAGTTTTCTGACCAAGTGTACACAGATGTAAGTTTTTCAGGGATTTATGAGGGGTTTTTTGTTTTTTTGGGGTGGGGGTGGGGGGACGGGAGAAAGGGAGAAAAAGAAAAAGTACTCCTCTTGCGGAAGTGAGGTTTGAATAGCTGTAAAAGTAAAATAGCTCATTAAAATCATAGACCTACAAGAAGGTTGTGCTAACATGGAATGTTCCTATTAGTATCAACATTTTCAGAGGAAAGAAATTTGGGAGAATAGCAGGTGAACAAAAAAAATAAGGAAATCAAAATCTGTTTTTGAAATTCAATATGGGTTTGGAAAGTTTCATTTTAGACTTATATTTCCTGTTTTGCTATTGTTTGTCTTATTTCTGTATATGATATCAACATTCATTTTTGCTTCTAGTCAAGTGGTAGGATACGTTCCAACCTCTGCCATTTCTGTTGATAGCCGTGCTTTTCTTGCTCTAAAAGAATGTTATTGTGTCAATGTTGTACTTCTCTTTACTTTGTCTATGGGATTTTTGCTCTCATGTCTTCCAGCAGGTGCTTAGAAGGTGCCACGGGCAAGACCTACATCTTTTCTCTCCATCTTTTGTTTCTCTCTGTCTGTCTTGCCATCTTCTTGCACTAAATGACAGTTATTGTGTCGATGCTTTTTTTTTTTTAAAACAAACGTCACTTCTTTTGAAAAGAGGGAACTAAATGCGAGGATCCCTTTTTTTTTTCCCAGGTATGATAGCCGAGACAAGACATGTGCACTACACAGCCCGCTGAAGGGGAGATTTTCATTCTTGGACCACAGCAGCTGAACTTCGTGCAAGCTGGCACAGTTCTTATGTTGGCAGACATATTAAACAAACACACGCAGATGTATGCTCACACATACACATGCGCTGGCACGGACATGAATACACAGATCCACAAGCACACGCGTGCATGAGTGTGTGCACACACACCCACCTCTGAACTCACATTGAGACAGGACAGTGTGTTCATTTACTGTAATCAAGAAGAGGCGACTCGGTTCCTCTTACTGTTGTCAATTCACAGGCTAATTTTTTGTCTGGACAGACCTGGATTAAGGAACTCAAAAATAGACAAATGGTCAGCTCTCTGTTTTCTCCAATATTGTTCCCATCGCATATGACTGTGCTCACAGCTCTAGCTAGAGTACAAATATTTTTTGTTGTGGGGGGAGGGGGGGGAGGGGTGTTGTTTGGGATTGTTACTTGTTCTTTTTCTCTTATTAAGTGAATGGTTAAGTCGAGTAAGTGACAGCGAGTCTTAAAGCTCTGTATTTTCACTTTGCTCTTGATTCTACAAGTGTTCTGATCTCATGTACTGTGCAAGTCCAGTTTGGTACAACTCGGGGGAGTTCAGAGAAGACACTTGGGAGACTTAAAATATTGTACTGCTGTCTTGTTTATTTAAGGTTAATTTTTGTTTAGAATTCTTTGAATCAGATTTCTTGAAACTAGTTATTCTTATGCAAAAAATGTTGAGGTCCTTGCAAATTCATACAACTGTGTCTGCCTTTTTTATAATTGGCTAGAGGTATGATCTGTACTTTAATTTGATATCTAGAACCAGTAAGAAACTTGAATTTTCATTTTCTCTTGAAGAATGTTACAGCCTTGAATGTAAAATCTTGATCATCAAAAATGAATTTTTCATCAATTATAAATGATACCATATGTTTTGTAATTCATGGAAATCAGCACTTTCAGAAATTGATGCCACTCTCAAGCTCAACCTTTTTTTCAAATTTGTAGATTGCAGCTTAGAGGCACAATTTGTTAAACGCTAAGAAAATATAAAATTTTCTTTTTTTAAATGCATTACCACTGTAGCAACACTAGAGGTGACTTTTAAAAATCAGTACATACATAGAAAAAGTCCAGGTTCGAGCCTCGGTTCGGACACTGATTTTTTTCGCCCCCTCCTGCTCTCCCAGCAGTAATGGGTACCTGACTTCGAGTTGGGGAAGTAAAGGCGGTGTGGAAAGGAACTGGCCACCCTACCACAGTATGCCGAAGACCCAGGAAGTTGTCTCACTAACAAGGCAATCCCCAATTCTGAAACCCATTTTGTAAATTGAGTGCTCTTGTGATTAAAGAATGATTTAAGTCTATTTCGTATTAAAAAAGAAAAAGAATTGCATACTTGCATTCCATAGTGGGTACAAGTTAGTTCCTTCATGCTGATGGTCTCAGAAAAGAATTCGATAATTCATTGGCCCTTGTTTTGAAGATTGATTTTTTTGTTCACTTGCAGCAGCAGCAGCAGCAGCACTACTCTCACATGAATAATTGTTTCACTCTTGTTCTTCCTCATATTGTTTAAAACATAAGTAAAACAGGAATTTTAGGAGATTTAATTGACCTCAGCAATCATATGTCATTAAGAACATGCTCCCGAGAATTATTTCGGTAAGAATGGATGGTTTTGTCAAGAGGGATTCGACTTTTCAAATTACACTTTGAAGAGCCTTAATCTCATATAATAGTCAACTCTTCAGAAATAGCACAATATATGTAAGCACACATTGTTAAATAAGGGATAGATGAATGAGTCCCTTCACCTATGCCGAGCACACAAAGTACCCTAAGTGGACTCACACTGCCCTTTCCTTGTGACATGCTGTTCTTGGCACTGTCCTTGTGTGCCCGTCTGTTCTTCCTCACATGACAGCATTTTCTGTTTCTGTAGCTTATGAAGACAAATATTTTTTCAAAGCTTTTACATCATCTGAGCCAGTGCCTTGTCTATACCCATCATCATTGCCAGAAACGCTGTTGATGCATTTCTATACATTGCAAAGACCAAAGTACCTGTATATTCTGTAATATATGATTGTGTTTGTGTTCTGGTGCAGAGAGTTGAGAGTCAAGTGTGTGCACAGCTGGGGAAGAGATCTGTGACATATTTAAAGGGCAAAAGTCGCATGATTGACGTAACTGTCTCAGGAAAAATGTATAACTCTGTATTGTTTTGCTCTCTCCGTGAAACAGTGTCAAATAAAGCTAGACCATTTTTTCTGTGGCAGTCTCTTAATTCCTTTAGGTAAATTAAAACGGTCTTAATTGTTGGTGTGAGCAGATCTGGACATACTTGGCTTTAAATTGTTGGTGTGAGCAGATCTGGACATACTTGGCTTCAACTCTGTGTACATTTTCAAATTGCTGTACAGAAATGATGCACAATTGTTACCAGTGTAGTAATGTATATAGCTGCATGCGTATTGTAGTGGTACACTCCTGTCTGGTGCCTCTTTCTAGGCTGTTTTGTCACATCCGATGACTTGTTTTGGACACTTAGTTTTTCTGGAGATTACCCTATGTTCGGTCAGATTTAGAAGAATTAGTTGCACATTAGTTCAGAAGCTGTTGGGGTTGTCACTTTTGTGGTGATGGATTCAGTGAGCTGCTGACATCAGATACTTTGTTCTCTGTTTGTTTCCCCTATGTGTTCCGTAGAAGTAGGTCCTTCCAGTTCTTGAATGTTGTAAGGTTTGCCCGAGGTCCAGTTGTCCCTGTAGCTAGAATTCTTTACAAGATTTTGTGTTAGATTCTGGCTGTTGTAAGATGAAGTGTGAGGGGGTAGACTCTCATTGTTATGTTGAAAGGAATACATGTACATTGTTCCTTGATGTAAACCTTGCTTGCTCTTATTTAACAGAGGTGACTGCTCACACTGTTGTAGCCGTACAGACACATAAGAAAATGTTACGTAACTGGCGAAGCTTGTATGTGAACAGTGCCATTAAAAGACAAAGATGCACAAATACAAGCTTACTTTGGGTAAATCTCTTGCTAGCTTTGAACAGACTGACAGAGATGCGGATGTACAACTTGATAGTGGTAGATCCATTTATAAGATATTTTGGAACTGCAACACGTATTTGAAAATCTCATATAAAACAAAAATGTAACAAAAAGGCTGAGAGTAAAGATTTTTTAGCTTATCAGGGGGGTTTTTTAAGTGGGTTCATTTTGCCCTTTTCAGGAGTAGCCTAAACCATCTCTTTGATCTTCTTTGCTCATCAATTCTGATATGTTATCCCCTGTTCATCTAAATCACTTTGGTCAAGAGTGTTGATCTCCTCCAACTTTGAACCGACTGATGAGCATTCTGTGGTCAGCTCCCACTACTTCTCTTTACTGTTTCTGTTATAATAGAATCTGGTCCAGTTATATTTGTGGCTGCTATAGTCCCCACTCACAACAAACTACATTTGTTCAACACCACAGTTGACACCGGGTTCTAACTTTGGTTGAAGGAACAGTGTAGTTTTCTCACCTCTCCAGGTACAGTTACATTATGCACAACTGTTACATTGAATAGAATTCATCCTCATATTGATTTTTGATGCTTTCCCGGTTGGGGGACTTTGGGAGAAGTGTCTTTTTTTATAACAGCATTCCTTGATTTATTTATTCTATTTTTTGTGTGTGTATAATGTGTTCCTGGTGCATTTGGTTTTCTGAATTTGAAGTGAAGCTATGAAAAATGCTCGAAGAAACTTCTGGTAGATCTGCACTTTGTACCCTGAAAGGATGGAACTGTTTTGTTGCATCCTTGAAGGACATGAAATATGGAATATTGTTCTGTCTATAGTAACTAAAAGAACATGGACGTTAGTTTCATGCCGACAAGCACAAAATTAGTAGTTCTTTCATACATTTCAATTTTGGAGACGTCTATACATATATGCAGAAAGTTGGTAGTTCTCAAAATTCAATATTAACAAAATATTTGACAGGCTTGACTTTCAGTCGCGATTACACTGTAATCAATTAGTAGACTATAATATAAATACTAGCAAGTGTTTCTTCAATGACTAAAAGTGCAACAGTTTTCTCTTTTGTCCATTGGCATCTGTTTGTCATATGAGATCTCTTTGAAATGAATAAAACAAGAAAGCAATAACGTTTGACCCTCTGGTCTCCCCTGGGCCAGCAGTGATGTTGCTGTAAATGTCTACCTCTGGTTTTCAGTTATTGTACTAGTAAAGAAATGGCGCTAATGACACGTTTATTTTTAAATGATTACCTTGTACATATATATCATGCTAGTTCTACTGTCTAAATTATTTTATGTTCTGTGTTTAAAGACAAATAAAGCTTTAAAGTAATTGAACGTTATGGTGTTTTGTCTTTCATCTTTGTTCTTTTTTAATTTTGTACATTATCATCCCCCCCCCCCCCCCACCTCAAAAATGGCCACAGTTTAGATCATTACAGAGGCAACTGCTCTAATCCAACATTATGGACAATCCCACGCTGAAAGGAGGAACCCAGCAAAAAAGGAAACATAATAATTTTAAATGTTGAAAAATGGTCGCTTTTAAGCACAAGGGGGCTACCCCGAAAAATGCTGTTTTGACAAAATCAAAGGTAAAGTTTTTGCCCCTTGTTCAGTTTCTTTAAAAGAAAAGGAGAGTTTTCTCTATAACCGAACAAATATACCCACCAATGAAACCAAACTTCTCCTATAGCTGGTAGGGCAATGCCACAGAATTCTACAAGTAGAATGCCCACTTTTGGTGTCGGTCAAGATTTCTGGAAACCCTCCAAATCTGAGTTGGCCCGCTTGTCCTTTTAAAAGTGACCAAATTGACTACGTTGTGATTGTTCTACATTTGTGCAGTCGAACCTGCTCCAACGCAACCTGTATTTCTAAAAATCACCAGCGCGAACATTTATTTTCCAGTTCTTCCCTCTCGTTCTTTAAAATTATAATGACACCGTGTAAAAAGTCCACCTGTCGAAGGCAACCACCTTTTTCCTCCACAGTAGATGGCTGTCTTAGACAATCTCGACTGTTGGCTTACTTGCAGAGCACTTGTCGGATCACGGCGTTATTTAGCACAGTGAAGTGTTCATAATTACACTCCAGTTCTCTAGATTGCTTAACAAGACAATAATGAGGCTTCGTGGTGAAATCAGGCGCCCGTCAAAATTATTAAATCGAAGAAAACGTCAATATTCCGTCTGTTGGGCAATTGTTATTATTCTTTTTTCTTTTCTTTTTTTTGAGGGGGGGGGGGGGCTCAATACCTCTTGTGTCCATTTAAAAACACATTTCCGGGTGGATTTTACTGAAAAGCTCTGATCAAAGTCACACAACATGTAAATGTGCAGTTTCCAATGTCTCTCAAGCTTTGAAAGTTGCCAAAATTTGGTGGACATTTTCTTTTATAGGTCTTGAGCGCCAAACAGCCACCCATCAAAGTTGCCATACTGTTGCATACACTCATAGGCCTACACATCGTGACCGTGTTCTCCGTGAGCACTGCCAGCTGATACTACGCAGGACTGCGTGGTGCGGACAACCTTTGGTTCAGGACCAGCGTAAATCATAGGGCGGTTAGGAGCCTCTCTGTTGCTTACATAAGACGGGGGTTCGATTCCCTCGTGAGGGAACTCTATCGAGAGTTATATAATTATTATTTTTTTTCCCTTCTTTTTTTTATCCCTTGCCCATTTATATATATGAGAATGACGCAATCTGATAAGTAAAAAAAAGTGCGTATGATAGTGTCCAATAGTGTATTACGTGCATACTTAGCATAACAAGTGACAGTAATATCATATACAGATTCTAGGATTATAGAATCTTGTATAAATCATTGATCTGAGAGCGGTGGTGATTTTAGAGATGTAATGGTGGTGATGAGTGATGATGTGGGATTGCGTTTAAGTAATGGCCCCCTAAAGTCCTATCTTCCTCTGCTCCAATGAGTCACGAGGGGTATCGAGCATTATTAATATCTTCCTCTTGGATGCTGTACCCCGCTCTGCAAGGGCTGACCCTGATAGACAAGGTCGAAGCAGCCCGGCCTGGAGTTCAATTACCTGACCTAATTTATGTCCGTAAGGGCGTGAAATATTTACAATCAAATACCTTGCTCTGTAAAAGTATTGTTCGCCCTTCGTCCCTCCTACAGGTATGGTCCGGTCTGAGGAAAAAATTAATCTATTCTAAGACCCCGCCTCTAAGAAACAGCCCGACTCAAACTCGCTGTGTTGAAAGGAGCATATTAATTTAGCTCATACACATATTAAAAACGAAATATGAGAAAATAAATAATATTTGCCAAACAAACACCCCTGTGAATGATGAGTTGAGTAAGAGAGAAAAAAAAGCACCCCAAAACAACTCAATATTGACCAGTCTGCCACAGACACGGCATGTCCCTTTTTTCCATCTCCCGCCTGAGACCGTGTCGTGAGTAAACAGATTGACTTGGATGGGGGGAGGAGTGGTGGTGGTGGAGGGTGTCTCTAGCAATCGTTACTGGCTTTGTAAGTTTCAAATTAACCCTTTCACTGCTAGACGCTGTGTCATCTCATAGATTTCTGATGTAGACAGTGCCGCGATGACCAATTATTATGACATTTCCGGGTGGTACATCTAAGGAGAGGAATAATCAAAACAGAACGTCAAATTCTATTCTTTCCAGAAAATTACCTTTAATGATCAAGTGTAACATTGTACTGGTTAAAAGACACAGTAAACATAAAAGACGCAATGAAAAGAAAGAAAAGGCATTGTACTTGTACATCATTGACTTATTTCGCTTATTCTCAAGTTTGTGAGTTCTCAAGAATTCTGAACACAGATGTTTTGGTAGACATGCATACACTCAATCGTGCATGCACACACACACACACACACACACACGCACACACACACACACACACACACACACACACACACACACACACACAAACACACACAGACACTTTCCCCGTCCTCTCCCTGCTCACTGCCTTCTCCACTTCTCTAATCATGACATTGACAAGTTGGGGTTCCAAAACTGATATTACTCAAATCCAAACGAGAGGGACAAAGAGAGTACCAAGCAGTTTCCTTGACGCACATTTTTATTCTAAAACCTCGGCATTCTAGAAATACATGCACTCATACACTATACCCGTTGGTCCCGTAGATATCAAGTCTGACTGCTGGCGCTGATAAGCCTGGTTCGAGTCCTTTACAGGGAATCTTGAGTATAGTTTTGTTTAAGAAGTATTCATGAATCTCCACTTTCTTATTTCGGTCCTATCGGAGATGGGATGTTAAGTTAAAGATTCTGCCCACCTTATTGTGTGTTGAAAAACGACAATAGTCCAAGAACACTGTGGTTTCCCCTCTTCAAGAATCAAGAAGAAGACTTTTTCTGGCTCGTAGTATAAATGTGAGCCGTTTTCATTTTCTGTCAAACAAGTACAATCGCCCGATATGCAACAATTATTATGATTAAGCATAAGTTGAGAGTAGAATAATGATTATTGAGCACCCACATATCAAAAGGTAAAAAGAAAGAAACAAGTAACAATAACAACGGCGACCATATTGTTGTCGAGATGTAGTTCACGATAAACAGAAATACTTGCCTTTTTTTGTGACATGACGGTGCTTCGGGTCAGAAACGATCTGATGAAATGAAGAGCACTAGGTCAAAGTTCAAGTGAAAGTTTATAGTCTTATGTTCTTTCCTATCGTAGGCACCACAACGACTCTCTAGGCTGACCTCTTCATTTCAGTTTTATAATTCACCACCTTCTTGGTCTACTGATGAACACTCAGTTGACTCTGTGTTTTACGTTCAAACTTTAAAACAAATGTAATGTGTATTGCTTTTGTTGTCGTTATTATTGTTGTTATTGTAGTTGTTGCTATTGTTGTTTCAAATTTTCACTGATGGCCGAGTATCATTCATTTTCTGAAGGATGTGCTGAAATAATGTAAGGTTAAGTAAGCCTACCTGTCCCGAAGAGAAAATGTTCTATCTGGCGGAGACAGGAATTGAAACCATAAATCTTACAACAACGAGTTCGACACATGGGTTTACCAAAAGACAATGGGGCCCCAAGCTGGATATATGTAAATACATGTACAGTATATTATGATGATATATACTGCTATGTTGAACCGGCGTCTGTGATATAATGGTCAGGCTCTTTGCCTTTGCGCTCACAAAACGTGAGTTCGAAACCGTTGTGGGAAAGTTATCTTATATTTCCGTCTGTTCACTGGGATGATGTATCCTCTCTTCTCGAGTTAGCCTTCTTAGAAACATCCGAAGCGGCCTGCTTCCTGAATGATCTTAATTGTGTCGAGCAAGGCGCAGAACTTTACTATAAATCGTATGCCATCCTTTCTATTGCACTATCCCGTTGTGGGCATAGCAGGGTCATACTTTTATAGGAAAAATTGGAACCCAGGCTACACACGTCTGAAACACCAAGTCATACAAGTTTGTTTGGAAACAGAAAAAATACCCCAAAGGCTTCCAGCTTCCTCTTTTTGTGCTGCTTCTGAGGCGATATGGTTCAAACAAAAATGTTCATTATACCGGCTGTGCGTAAAGAAAGCGCGGACCTGGGGTGCCTGGAGTATGGAGGTGTCATCTGTAGCAGTATCTATCCAGAGACGTCTCCGACGGAGATAGACGTATCAAAATACTTGGTGTCTCAAGACCAAGTATAAAATTCTGGGTGGGAGGGGAGTACAGGGCGCGTGTCCCTGTTTTAACCCATAATTTGATATTTTGCAGTTAAGTTTTAAATTTTCTTGAAAATAATTGATTTGCGACATTTTAGTGGCTATCTGTGGGAGCTGCAGCAAATAATACGCAGTTTGGACCCCCCCCCCCCCCCCCCCATACAACCAAAGCAGTGCATCAGTGTGCGGGAGTGCGTCTCGGAATGGTTCCTGGGTGCCCGCCGGAGACGTCTCCGAATATCTTCTGCCGTCATCTGTGGCCAAGAGTTTGACAAATTATTATGAACCGCCTTTGTTTACGGTCGCTAACTGCTTTCGTACATTTATTTATCAAATTTAGCCCCGTCCACATTGTGCCTTGTTTATTCTTAGCCCTTGTGCCCCATGTCTTACCTTCGACTTCGAGTATTGCCTTTATAAAGGTCTAGTGGCGGTTTTTTTATGTCCAAAGTATTGTGTCTTTCTCCGTATGCGCGTGTTTCTTGTCCAATGGTTAATGTCTTCAATTTGCTATTGCGTGTGTGTCAATGATCCAGCCTACAGCAACAACAATGACGGTATTTAGGCAACACGATTGTATAAGATGCATAATAATGTCCCTTGTTTCAAGAGGCAGGGAAGAAAGCCCTCATCCCAAGAAACAGGCACGCACATCTTGAAACCTTACACAACCGAGATTGGCATATAAAGAAAGACAAAGGGGGAGCCAAAGAGGTACGTAACATAATTTGTACAAGGAGGAAGAGTGCCAAAAGCTGGCTCCTAGTTGCCTTATAATTACACGTTTCTTCTGTTTGTATCTGATTGTGAGTATGTGTGTGTCATGTGTTTGTGTGTGTTGGGGGGGGAGTGTTTACGAGTGAGTGTATGTGTATGTGTGTGTGTGTGCGTGTGTTTGTGTTAGTGTGTGTGTGTGTATTTGTGAACGTGAGTATGCGTTTGTGTCTGAGTGTCTGTGTCTGTGTTTGTGGGTGTGTGTTTGTTAGCGTGTGTTTGTGTTTGTGTGTATGTGTTTGTTAGTGTGGGTTTGCGAGTATGTCTGTATGTGTGCATCCCTGTGAGTGTGTGTGTGTGTGTGTGTGTGTGTGAGTGTGTGTGTTTGTGTGTGTGTATGTTGAGATGCACGAGTGTGTGTTGACTTCATTGTTGACAAAAGTAACCCGATATTCTCTAAAAGCAATCTGCTTGGCAAAAGGTTACTTTCCACGAAGCATTTGATTACACAAAGACCAAAGACGAGGAAATAGTCAAGTTAATAAAGTCTGCTGCAGAAATCCTGAGACGTGATGTCACTAAAATCGTTGGAAAAAACCGTTCTGTTGCGGGGTATCCCCTGTTGCCTGCCCGCCTTTGGTTTCTGAAGCACTTGCCTTGTCCGCACTCACGCTGAAGATCCGTTTTCCTTCGGAGGAGCTCATTGATTCGTCCATGAAGGGAATGTCTCCATTCTCGTCCTTGGGCGAGACTGACGACTCGTCAACAAGTTTGACATTTTCTTCAAATTCCTGAGGGTACTTTTCAGCTTCCTCGTGAATATCGAAAAGAACTTCTTGCTCCCGCGCTACCGCCGATAAGGGATACCTGTCGTATTCATCAAGGGGCGAGCTATCGTTGTCCTCAGTGTTCCCGGGATCCGCGCACCAAGGGAAAGGGCCGGAGAAGGGTGTGTCGTAGTCTAGGGCCCGCCCAGTGGTATCTGACAGCTTGCAAGCCACGCCCCTTACGGTGTCCATTGCCATAGCAAGGCTCTCGTCTTTTTCTTGGTACTGGGACAGGACGTCGAAGCGTAGCCGTTCAAATGAGTGTTTGACGTCCTCCACACTTCCTGGGAACGACAGAACAGAAAGAGAAATGATTATTGATCTCAAACACTTTGTGGAACTAATTATTATTGATATTTATATGGCCATTATCTACTGAACGATAGAACAGGTCCGTATTGCTCTTCAGGTAGCTACATGCAACTTACTCATAATTCTTTTTACTGGCCAGATTTTTGTTCTCAATATTTTAGATACAGATTATAGTCTCTCGCCCTCCCTCCTTCCCTCCGTTTCTCTCTCGTTTTTTTCTCTCTCTATTTTTCTATCACCCCCTCTCTCTCTCTCTCTCTCTCT